AACATAACTACACAAGAAGCACACCAACAACAACATTCACCATTTTGTGGATTTACACTTTGTCGATAAAGCACTGCCGTCGAAGTAAGACTGGAAGGTCCTGATAACTTCCTCATATGTTGGCCTCTTGTAGTCCACTGCCTGTGATTAGTAACCACTCATATCTGATTACGTCCACAAAACACAATGATTCAATTAAATTAACCAGAAGGATTATTTTTCAGCACACCTGCTCAATAACTTCTTCAGGGCTCGCCCATTTCCACTCTGCAAATTCTGGATCAGCTGCCCCATTGGCTAAGTTGATCTCACTCTCATCTTTTGTGAATCTCATAAGAAACCTGTCAAGTGCCCAAATTCATTGTTAAGCAGCAGCAGAAACTTTTGCATCTCTTATTTCCATCCATTCGGAGAAAAATTACAGAACTATATAAGCAAAGGAAACACATTAATTTTTCACTGAGAGAGGAAGCCTGATATAACTGAATATACATGGTAAGCAAGCTCAATATCAATTCTATAATTCAGTTGAACCATACAAAGACATTTCATTTTCATGTCCCATAAGTCCCCAGATGGCTCAAAGCACGTGTGTTTATGCCCCAGGCACCAGAGTGAGCTACTAAACATGTCGGGAATTCGTAGAAAAACAGAGTATACACATCCTCAATAAAATGATCATATAAGGAGAAACAGCAGAGTACATGCGATGACAATGACATTAATAAAGATCTGCAATCACAATGAGGAAAAAGTCTCTTAATGTGCTGAGAATTGAACATTACATACTTGCAAGCTTAAGAAGGCAGGTTTTAGAAGAATTGATATTGTTTTTAATTCATGAAGTGTGTGCATGTGAAGGAAGAAGGACATGCCATTTTTGTGCTTGCCCGTGCCATTCACCTCCCCAGAGACGATTTACTTTGGTCTTCACAGCAGGCGGAAAGTCATATGTCAACCAATGCGGAACCTGTCAATACACACAACCTCAGTCGTAAGTGTGAAAAATTGACTGCCATGAAAATTCAGCTGCTCAGCATGGTTATGAAGCATGCAGCATATTTTGACTATAATTTAGAAGTTTTGAACACCATCCAAGCCATTACTTCATGATGCACTGGAGTTTTACAAATTCAGTATTTTTATAGTGGTGATTATGGGGTTTTTGCCAGATTTCCAAACTAACCTCAGCAATGATTTCAGCAGATTCTATCCCAGTCTCTTCTCGTAGTTCCCTAATAGCTGCATTTTTAGGTTCTTCACCATCTTCAATACCCCCCTGAGATTGAGGATCCAAAAATTAATACAAAAGTGAAGCTTAACCGAATGAATTGTACAAAACAGCAGAAATCCAGAGAATTACAGAGAAAGTTCAACCTTTACAATGATTGAAGGAAAATTTTGACCTTGAAGAGAATCCGATACTAGTATAAGGAAAATTTGTACAGAGATATTGGGCAAAAAAGTTAACCATGTG